CCCCTCTTCTGCTATTTGACCTTTTCATTTTTTGCCTAATTTGCACGGCGATATAATTTAATTAAAATAAATCTATGGGATTATTATTGATTTTCTTTGTTTTACCTTGTTTTAATTTATCATCCTTCCATCTCAAATATAATGATGGGATTTCAAGGTGACTTGAGTGATTCAATTTTAAAATAAAATTGAAATATTTAAAGGTTACACAATAACGTAACAATCACAATTATATCTAAAAAGTGTGTCAAAATTTCAATAACATTATTTAACTTTAAATCAGCTATAATATATTCGATTTTATATGAAGAATATGTGAAAGGGATTCAAAAGTATATATGATTCGAATTTTGAAGCAGAATTCTCAAAGAAATGGAGTAACAAATATTAGAGGAGAAAATGTCCCTTTAGGCAAAAGAAAAAACTAAGTATTTTGGAAAAAAATTCAACCCGAGTATTTTGGATTGATCAATATAAAAGCAAGACATTTCCTATATATATAGAGAGAGTAGTTATGCATTATCTCCATCTAAATTACATTTCTACTCTTTGGATTTTCAGGAAAATATTTACCTAGATATAGGGTAAAGCTGCGTATATCTTGCCCTCCCCAAACTTTACTTGTGGGAAATTAGATATAGGGGTAAGGCTGCGTACATCTTACTCTCCCCAAATCCCACTTGTGGGAAATTACTAGGGGTGCTTATCGGGCGGATAATCACGTTTAACAGTTCGGCTTATCGGTTATCGGATTATAAATGTAATAATCCGCTAGCCATCCAATAAGATAACGGGCGAATTGATATCAAATTGACAATTAGTTCGCGGTTATCGGATGGTTTATCGGCTAAACCAATTAGAAAATTTTTGAACAATCAATATCAAATGGCCAAATGCACAGATCAAACTGTCTCTGTTAGTTGTAGTAGCTTTTCCTGATTAGAAGCCAATTAGACGACTGCTAATGCCATTAGCTACAGACATACGACAGTTCTATTGAGAATTAGGAATTAGGGATTTAGCCATTTAGGTTTTAATAGTACTTTATATAAATCGGGGTAAAAGTATAAATATAAAAATTCTTAATGGGTTAGTGGTTTATCCGATAAGAAAATAGAATAATTCTCCTCCAAATCGTTAAGCCACTAATTATAAGATCTCAATCCGTTCACCATCCATTACTCCGATAATTCGATATCAATAAGCCAATAAGCCTTCGGTTCGTTCGATTGGATTAACAGTTTCGGTTCGATTTTGAACGGCCCTAGAAACTACTGAGTCTGTTGTTGATTCTAGATTAGAATGTCCTAATTTTTTTACATAACGCCCTTGGAATGACGATTAAAGTAACCTTGTTGACTTTTGATGAAATATATAAGGGGATTTATTATTTTACAAAGGTGATGATTGTTTAAATTAAATCTACCCACTGTCAAGCATCAACAAATATTTCTAATTTATCATGACTATATCCTTACCAAACTTAATCAATAAATCATTATATTGTCCGTCATCATTTAGAGTGCAGAATTACATACAATAATAGAATCATTACATCTTAATCACCAACCTCAACAAATCATAATTATGTGTTGGGTGATATTCCATTATTACAATAATTATGATAAAGGTAAATTTTCAATGACAAACATAATCTGTGACTTTCGCCTTTCTTCTCCTTTTTTTAGTTTTTCCTGTTCTTTGTTTTGTATTCTGGAATTAATGGGGGAAAACAGGTACTGTTGCATCTAATCCCAAGAAATATATGACCAAAAATATTTTTTTTTTTAAAAAGGAAATAAAAAGAAACCTCTCAACACCTTTTGAGAAGTTGGTCTATAATATTTTTGTGAGATGCGAACTTTTTGGTGCTTGGGATCCATCTAGGGTTGTTTATCGGGCGGATTGGGCGGTTAATTACTCTTAACGGTTTGGCTTAACGGTTATCGGCTTTTAAATGCACTAATCCGTTAGCCACCCGATAAGATATCAGGCGGATTGGTATCGGTTTAGCTCTTATCGGACGGTTATTGGGCGGTTTATCGGCCTATCATACATATTCACAAATCGAAATTACACCAGACATACATATCAACATATTCTTACCTATCCTCTGTTTTTGTTGTCCCGTTGTATATCCAGATCCTAGAGTAGTTTCAGCCACACATTCTTCACTTTACCGGGCTCAAGGTCTTTCAAATCTATTCGAGCACAACCAATGAATTCAGCAGCCTGAATCCCTTCATCATCATAAACTCTAATTGTTAAATATTGAGTGGATATGTCTTCAACTATGAACTCAAAGTGCTCATTCCAGATCGGATTTAAACAGTTATCCTTAACAAAGGAAACAAAATCTGGCGTTATACATTCCTCGTCGGGAGATAAATAAATTAAGAAGGACAATAATAGATGGAAGTTCTCTTACAATAACTTTGCTGGTCTTTGTCCTATCGCGTAGTGGACGTATAAACAACTCAACAAAAGGATCAGACTTCCCAATGATGTCTTTATTAGTCAACTCTTTGGCTTCGATGAGCTTGACTTATAATATACCAACTGGCTTTAGCTCCAGGTCACTGCAAGTAACGTTAGTCCTAGAGACTAGACAGATAGAGTACTGGAAAGTGGAAACTAAAGTCAAGGGTTTTTGTCTTTTTTTATATTTAATATATATAAACAAAATAAATTTTGAATATATATATATATTCTTAACGGGTTAACGGATTATCCGTTAAGAAAATTGAATAATCCGCCCCCAAACCGATAAGCCGTTAATAAAAAAATCTCAATCCGTTCCCCGTCCGTTAAGCCGTTAACCCCGTTACCAATAAGCCATTAAGCTTCGGCTCGATTCGATTTTCGGTTTCGGATCGGTTTTGAACACCTCTGGATCCATCGTTTCTGGATCCCCATACATGTTGCTAATTGCACTTTCACCTATTTCTTTTCTCTTACAAACTGAAATTATTGTTTTATCTTTAATGATATAATTTATTGATATAAAAGTCTATTATTTTATTTTCAAAAAAAGTGAAAACAAAAAGACATAAGTCTCCTGCTTATTTGAGATTGTGGCATTATTATTATTGTTGCCAAACACCTACATATAAAAGAAATTACTAGAATGGAAGAAGTGAAAGCTTAGTAAATGAAGATTGACAAGTGAAAAAAAATTATTTCCAAATTTATGTGGTTCAAAGTTACACTATAAACATAAAGTTTGAACTTGATGAATCATTCTTGAAGTTTGAATTAATCTATGAATTTTTCCTAGAGTTTATTACTTTAACAAATTTTCAAACTTCAAGAAAAATTATTAGAGTTCTTCGATGTTTTAGATAATAATATTCTTATCCATGTTTATTTTCGCATTAAAAAGTGGTTACTT